AAGCTGCTAAACTTGGATGTGAGTCTTGAAGGTGTTGAACGCAAGATGCAATTGTTGGAGCTGGAGGAATTGCGTTACCACGCCTATGAGAACACAAAGTTGTACAAGGAGCGAACAAAGCATCTTCACGACACTCGTTTGCGGGCCCCGAAGGAGCTTCAGGTTGGCGATCGAGTTCTTCTCTATAACTCTCGCCTGAAACTCTTTCCTAAAAAGCTCTATTCTAGCTGTTCGGGACCGTTTACGGTCACACAGGTGTTCCCGTATGGCACCATGGTGATCACCGACTCACAAACCTAGCCGTTCAAAGTCAATGCCCACCGCTTCAAGCTTTATTGAGATCACCATCTAACTAAAGACGTAAAAGAAAGAGCTTGTGGGGAGGCAACCCTACCACGGTTTGCATTTCCTTTCTTTTTACCTTTTATTTTTTGTCTTTAAGTCATGTCGTGTCTGTCAAAAGGGCTGGACACCTCGTTTCGTGATAAATCTCAATTCTGAGGTTGCTGGAGCGTTGCACGGCCATGCCACAAATATGCACGGCCGCAACTAAATAAGTTTTGGCAGTGCGGCATTCCTGGAAATCCCACACAGGCACAAGGGCCTGTTGCACGGCCGTGTGGATTCCTCATCCTCGCACGGCCACCTTCCACGCCCGTGTTGCGCGTATGGGCAAAACGGGATTTGCACGGTTGTACGGCCTGCTCGTGCGCGTGCCCAGATTGCCTATAAAATGCCTTGTACGGCCGTGCAACCTCATTTTCCCCCAAACTCTGGCCGAAAAAATCTCCTTTCGCTGGAAAACCGCGCCATTTCGTCTCCCTACCGATTTCCAGCCATTTGGGGTTGTTTTTCGCTACTCCAACCTTGGACCCACTCTTTCCTTCCAATTGGCGGCCTCTCCCCTCGTTTTTCAGGCGCTTTGCGTCGGGTTTGGGTCGTTGGAGGCGATTTCGGGCGAGACTCCGCGAGGCTTTGAGGAGCATTTTCGGGTAGAATTTTGGCAATCCGTTACTTCCATCGCCTTGTCATCACCTTCCCCTACACGTTTACTTGAGTCTCCAGGTTTGATTTTGCCTTTTACCTTGTGAATTTTGGAGAATTGGTTGTTAGGGTGTTAAGGTAGAGAATCGAATTGCATGCATGAATTGATCGAAATTGCTCGAGGGGAAGGCAAGGATTGAGTACTAGGCATGTTTTGGAATGTGATTCTTACTTGATTGGACCCTTGTGTGGTATCTTTTGCCCGTTTTTCGTGCTCATTTTATTCACGCACACAAGGTGTTCGACAAAATGCCTGTTTTCATACACTTTTATCAGGGCTGCTTGGTGGCCTTAATGACATGCTATGAGTGTGTACTTGGTATGGTTGCGAAGCTCGTGTTACTTATTTCCCCACTTGGAGACACCCCCATCTTGATTGTGCCTCTTTGATTGAGATTCTTATTCATGAAATATGCATGGCACCATGGCTCAACTCTAGTTGACCTCAAGTGTGGGGGTGTGCTAACCATCACTTGGCTGTTTTGTTGGCTCCACTTTGGTTCTTTGTCTTGCAGGATCATGTCAAAGCCCAATCTTAAGTATTGATACATCCTGGACCTGAAGTCGGGGCCTCGCAAAGCTAGTTTAAGCGAGTCTTGGAGGCGCAGTTTGGCAAGCACCATTGCTGGAGCAAGTGCGCACTCTAGAGCATCAATTGCTATGACGCCCTCCATGCCGTTGTTTGCAACCGGATGTGACGCCGCCTGCTGGCCCTGCATGACCGGTTCTATTTCTAGTTGGTGATCGAATTCTACTCCACTTTCCAACACACTGAGACCGCTGATTAGAAGGACAATGAGGCTATCAAGTTCAAGTTTGGCGGCGAGTACCACTCCATGAGCTACCATGATTTGGTGGCTGCCTTCGACCTCATGACTTTGTCGTCGAGGTAGCCAACCCGTCCAGTGTCTCCTTCCCAGACGTGTACCGCCAGCTGGCCCAGCCTCCTCACGACACCGCCGATGATGGTTTCACCGTCGGGCGAACGAAGGCCAGCACGTTGCAGACTGAGTATCATCATCTGCACCACCTGCTCACGAAGTCCTACGCCCCCAGCACCAAGAGTGCCAGCACTCTAACCAAGCGGTCCCTCTACTTCCTACAGTCGATGTGCACTACCCACCACGAGTTGCAATTGGTAAATATCAACCCGGGCCGAACCATGTTCTCCTACTTCGATTGTTTGAAACATTATCTAGCGATTGGTTTTTGGTGAGAACAACGATAAATAACTAAAACGTTTGGAAAAGTAAATGGGTTTGACACTAATTGAGAAGGCTTCACCCGGGTGTCGCTCCCCCTAGCTAGCAATTATGACTTGTCGGATCAAATGAAAACGTGTGGTAAGGAGGTTGTAAACTGTAGAGAAGTGTAACAAGTGAACACATGCCACTCTCTCGGTTAATAGGTCAAAGTAATTCGATTCAAGCTACCAAAGTAGCTCTCTTGAACTATTGACTAAGGGTTACCAAGACTTCGCGCTCGAAATGTCACAGTTTCCAACATATTTTAGAGGATTCCGGCGAGGGGGTGGCGTGAAGTGAAGAAGAAGGGTTCACACCCTTATATAGCAGGTTTAACTTTACTTGTCAACCCGGGTCCTAGATGTGATGCTGACTCCGTGAAGTTCTCGTTATCTAGCAGTTTGAATGTAGTAAAGTTGTAACTAATCTAAGCAGACACAAAGCAGTAAGGTTGCGATTCAAGTTAAGAAGGCTCACTCAGGTATGAGTCCTTCTAGATTCAAAATTCCTCTACTGGGTTCTAAACCAATACTGAGTAGTGAATCGACTTCCCGATTAAAGTCGTCGATTCACTACCTCCAATTCAAAATTCTTTATTGACCTATGCAGAGATTATCTTTCTATGCCAAAGCAGGAATCAGTATAATTTGATCAAGACTTAAAACAATTCTGAATAAGTACTTCAACTGGATATAAAGCAATCAATCATTCATGGTAAATGGTTCATACAACCCATCCAAACATACAATCTAGGGTTCTTACATACCCAAGTGATAGAGGGGATTACTCCATAGAGAGAGAGAGAGAGAGAGTGGAAAGCTATGTCGGATGTGGAAATCATCGTGTAAACGGAAGAAATCGGCACTGGGTCGTCACATTGCTCCTCGGGGCTTGAATCGAGTTCCATTGATCTAGGAAACTCAAGGATCTCTCTTCGTCACTTTCTCTCTCTAAAACTATGTTTTGGCTCCAAAGTTTGAATGCCATGTAAAACCCGCATTTAGCATTAAACATCTCGAGTATCGAACCCCCGGCCTGATTACCCGGTCATTTAATTTGATGACAAGCCAGGTTTCTTCAAAACGGCGCGCAATAGGTAAGTCGTGAAGCTGAATTCCCCGTTCGGGGATTAAAGGGTCGCGATTGGGGGAAAACCTTGGGCGACTTCCCCGATCTCCTATTGCGATTCCCCAGTCGGGTATTTGATGGTCCGACCGGGGAATTCAGTGCTCAAGCTCCTCCTTTCGCCCACTTGGTGCTTTTGACCCTAAACTCGCCTCCAAGCATGCATAGCTGATCCAAGACCTGAAATATGCCATAAAGAACAACCTAACTTGAAGTCGACTTAAAACACGAGAATCAAACCTCAAACAATGTAAGAATGGTGGACAACAACATGTGCAAATATCGAGTTATCAAATTCCCCCACACTTAACTGTTTGCTTGTCCCCAAGCAAACCAAGTCAGACACTCGGTAAGCTATCAAAATTTCCAATCACAACACTTTTGGGGACATGACATATGGCACAAAACACACGGATCTCAACAGACAACTAGTACCAACTCTGAACAACATCAACAACTGCAATGACCATTTAGATGACAGCCGACCGCAGCAAAATCATGCAAAGGAAGAGTCTACCTATCGTTCATGAACCAAATCATGACACCACTTGTCTACTCACACACCACAGTCAACCATGCCTAGAGTTCAAATCACCAGAATCGAAAACTGAGCAATCAAGGTCGTCACCGGGATATGGAATACAAGGAAATGAATGGCTCACTCTCGACCACTGGGGTCAGGGCCATTTGATGCGAAAAATGCGCATACTTATTCCATCAATCATAATGTCTCTTCCCCATGATGGTAGCCTCTAAATGGTTGAGTTCACATATTGGGTGTCACCACTAACTAGTCAGGAGGTCTTAAACCCAGCAAATCGACATTCAACCAAACCAGTTACTTTCTTTCTCTACTATTCTTCATTAATCAAGTTCTTTAGAGCACAAAAGTGAATGAGGTAACAACATGTAAGTATTTCTAAGCCATCCTGCTAAGAGACACCCTTTTTAATGAGCATGATTTAGATTGTTGTGGGGGCTCTCTTTTACTTTCATTTGTTCCTCTTTTTCATCTTTTTCTTTTCTGAGTGATTTTTCATTGTAGACACGAAGAAAGAAAGTTACATGGCTCAAAGTGCTGACTAGAGGGTATGATACACCAGGACAGACAATTTGGTCGTGGGCTAATCCCATGCCTCCATCATCCTAACTAGTGGCAACGTGAATGCTACACATCATGGAAGAGGGATCTATCGCACAAGAAAGAAATGAGCATGTTCAAATCTCACATGGCTACCTATATGCTCTATCTCTCATTCTGATTCCCTGAACTAGGTGTATAGAAAACTGTAGACAGTGAGTGAACGATCCATGTCACAAGTTGGTTCCCAAACAAAAGACAGACTGAACCCCTACACAAATCTACTGCATTTCTTACTCATCATCACAGTTATCTCATTCACAAACAAGCCATTCGTGTATCAATACTAACCATCATCAAATATCGCAAAACTAACAAGTGCCAATATGCCTATGCACGAGAAAACACTACTTGGAGCCCTCAAATTTTTAATTTGGACAGTGGACTATGCTCCAAGCACACATAGCAATCCCTATAAACACAAAACACCCTCCACACACACTTAAGATCGACATTGCCCTCAATGGAGCAGAGGAAAAAGAGGAGGGGAAATGATGTTACATGGATAAGGGCGATAGTAGGCACAGACTGGAGCAAGGACCAATCATCAGGAACACTAGACTGGAAGAGGGACCAGTCACTACAAGAGAGGGTCTCAGAAACAACCACTAGAACACTATTTGTTAGGGATAGTTGTCAGCCCAAATGGGCATACAAGAAAAACAAAAATAAAACCAAACACACAAACTACTCAGTTCATGCTTCGCAGACACATGGAGAAAACCATGGTGGGTTTGCATCCCCACAAGCTCTTTCTTTTACGTCTTTAGCTAGACGCATCAGGTGGATGCTTGAAGTGGATTAAGGTCAGGTGCCTCCAAGAGCGGATCCACATCGATCTTGAGGTACAACTTCAAGTGGTGGCCATGAATACGGTAGACGTGGCCACCAACTCAAGTCAACTCGACCTGGCCATCTGGCAGGATGCACGCGAGTGAATATGCAAATGGCCAGAGGGTCGTGGCGCAAGAGCCGGAACCAACTCATAGTGGTCTCCAGCTTTTGTTCTGCCAGGCTTGGATGACTGCAGCTTTGGCCGCCACTACTCCTTGAGCCGCTCTTTTGGTAACTGTGGGAGCGGGAGTGGCGGAGGAGGACGAGGTGCAGAATCCTGCAAACTGGGAGACATAGAAGGATACACGACAGACTCGTGCACCTGGTGAGATACAACATTAAAAGGCAAGGGAACAGTCATGCTGATGACTCGGTAATTGCACATGTTTTCCCCTTTGTTTCTTGATTGTTGGAGCTTGAATTATTGCGTCTTTGGCCTATTTTATGCTAGGTTGTGTTCCTTTGTCCCATTTCAGGTCCTAGCACATAAAGTGAAGCATAGGCGCAAGTTTCAAGTCAATCAGAGATCAATTGACGATTCAAGAGAAGAAACTCGGGCATGACCTGAAGAAGAATGGATTTCTACCTCACTTTATGGACAAAGAATCATGCAAGCTTGTTATGAAACGAAAGAGGACGAGACTACGAGCGTCTGGGATCAAACGGCGATTGATTCGGAGTCCGGACGAGGGAGAAACGAAGCATTAAACAGAGGCTGAGCAAGCTGCACGGGCAGACCAGCGTGGCCACGCACGGCCGTGCAAGTGACCAGTTTGGCCGTGCGGGATTGTGCGTGGGCACGCACGGGATTGTGCGTGGCCACGCACGGCCGTGCAACATACAATTCTGGCCGTGCGAGTTGGCTGAGGTTCAACTAATTGATACGCCGCGTTTTGAGGTGCACGGCCAGAATGGTGATGTGCACGGCCGTGCACCCTGGCCGTGCGAGTCGGGATTTCCTGGTTTTAAGCCAAATTCCGAACCAAAGAAGAGGGAGAGCTGGGTTTTGGATCCCAAACACCCAAGGGACGAACCCTAGAGAGAGAGAGCGACTTGGGAACATTCTTGGAGCTATTTTGGAGGATTTCTTCGCCATTGGAGCTCGGGAATCAAGCTTGGAGATTGAAGATCTAGATCAGATTTCTGCAGTCTCTCTCTTCTCTATGGAGTAACTTCCCTTCACTTAGGTTTTGAGGAACCCTAGTTCCATGAGTTAGGATCTTTCTTGTATGAAGTTTTGGATGCTATATTGTTTGATTATAATCGAATGATGCATGTTTATTGAGTCAATTGAAGTCTGATCAACTTTTCCTGATTCCTGCTGCAATCTGAGATAGATAGAATCTGATTAGGTTGCTAGAGTCTCATCATTCGGTAGTAGGAGATTGGCTATACGAGAGTTAGCCAGTTTACTGCTTTGTACTGGAATCCAATTCCAGTGGTGGAGTTCTGTGCTTATTGCTTCAGCTTTCTATCCCGGTGAAGACTAGTCGTCTGCCGGATAGTTAGACTGAGAGGGCTTGGTCAGCTTAAGATATTCCAAGCTACTGTCGGATCTTCCGCAGTTTAATCAACAGTAAATCAACCAAAATGAATTACAACTTGGACCTAATTGAGGAGCTAGGGGGAATCATACCTAAGTGAGTTCCCAAACTGTAATTAGTAGTTTTACTTAGTTTAGTTAGTAGAGTAGTTTAGTTAATCAATCCTTAATCTAGTTTGCTAGATAATGAACTGAAGCTGAGTAATAGTAACTCTAGAGACCCGTGGATTCGATATTTATTACTTGTGCCACTATACTGCAGTCCCTTTCATTGGTTACACTTGGCCATTGTTAGGTGTTGTGTTTTGGAGCATCAAGTTTTTGGCGCCGTTGCCGGGGACTTTCTAGAGTATTAGGAAAGGCAGAAGTTTGTTACTTTAGCGTTTTTCTTTTCTTTTCCACCCTTGCTTTTCACTTGGTTTTTTTTTGTTTTTTGTTTTTGTTGGTGCAGATCTGAATCATGGATCCGCATGGCTTCTCCAACCAGTGGGGGTATCCACCACCATCCGGGTGGTATTACCCCGAGACTCCCTGGAGCAATCAAGGAGGAGAAGACTATGGATTCGGGTTCCAGTACCAACCCCCTTTCTACGGAGAACAACCAGACCCCTGGGCATATCAAGAACAATCTCCTTATCAAGAAGAATTCCTCCCACAACAAGAAGGGCCATCGGATCTGGAGTTACCCATGGCGGCCTTCACGGGCCATTCTGCAGAGCCATGCTACACTCCACAGCCAGATCCAAACTATGAATTGAGGCTTCTCGTGGAGCAGATTGCTCGAGTACCTGAGAGATCTTTTCCCGAGATGGATCCTCATATCCAGGCCATTGCCCAAACTGACTTTTCCTTCCCCCGTGAAACAGAGGATACCATCCGGAGCATAAAGAAGCACCTAGAGGTCATTGAGAAAGCTTGTTCACAGTTTTCTCAAGACAACCTTTATGCTGCCATACAAGTAGAGGAGGAGGAAGAAAAAGGCAATCATGAGGATGTTGAGGAGCATACAGAAGTTGTCACAGAAAGCTCCCATGATAATCATGATCAAGTGTATCCTTTGGTGGTAGATCATAACTTTCACCATTTCCGCTCTGACATGCTGGGCTCGAGTGAGGAGATGCAAGCTGAACTTATCGAGAACCTTGCATGGAGACTTGCTCTCCAATTCGTGCTGGAAGAAGAAGAGCAAGAAAGGGTGCAGAAAGAAGTTGTGGAGGATGACAAAAGTGAAGCAGAAGGAGTTCTTGATCTTTTCTCAGAGGTGATACCACATGAAGAAGAAAGGGGGGTTGAAAAAGCAATTGACGTCCAGGCTGAGGATGAAGTTGAGGTGGAAGAGGCATGCACCGGCCATGAGTTGCAAGTAATATCCCCACCAAACTTCGAGGAGCTGCTTGGCAAGGACCCATTTGCAGTGTCTCTTTGCCAGACCAAGGCCACATCGACATCGGTCCCTCTTGGTGGACGCGATGGTGGCCAATCGATGCTGTCATATCTGGTTTGGGGCAATGAGACGAGAGAAGAGAAGAAGAGGTCTCTAGGGTGGAGACTTCATCTGCATCAAGTACATGAGCCTTCCTCACCTGCCACACCACATGCTCGTGACTTGAGACTCCACCTCATCGACGAGAACCTCAACTTCAAGGAGGTTCTAGCATGGACCGAAACTTAGGAGCCATCGTCCGGCTCACGACGTGAAAGAAGCGCTTGTTGGGAGGCAACCCAACCAGTCGGTTTGCATTTCTTTCTCTATTTCTCCTCGGTTGAGTCAGTTTTGTAATTTGATTTTAGAGTCAATAACTCAACCTTTGTGAGATTTTGTGTGGTGTTTGTGTTCTGATTACTCTCTCTTTCTGGGATGCACTGCCTGACCCGTACATCATCATTCACCCTTGATCTGGTAACTTCGTTCAACCCTCCTTATCTTTCCTCCATTGAGGACAATGTCGTGCTTAAGTGTGGGGGGGGTGTTCGATTATGTATGCGGGTGAATGTTTGGCTGTTTGTGTGCTTGGAGCCTAGTCCACTGTCCAAATTTTTAAATTTGAGGGCTCCAAGTACGTGTTCCATGCAATTGCCTGCTCAGTATGCTTTGAATTGACAGTCTTTACAGTAATATGCAACCTAGGGAGGTAGTGTAGCACTATGGAGGATGTTGATGCATTTAAGAAGTCTCATTTCTTCTTCATATAAAGTTGGTTGATTGAGTGAATTAGTGATCTTAGGACCCTTGAATTGTGTGATGTTGTGGATTTTCTACCTGTCATGGACTCTTGTATCATGTTTTGAAAATAGCAGGTGCTCGAAATTGTGCTTCAAAATAACGTCTCCCGTGCGAATAGGGCGAAAGTGTGTAAGGGGAGACGGGAATCCGTTCCCAATTTCCACCTACTACCTCCAGCCCCCTTACATGTCTTTCCCCCGCACGAGGCTCGAGACATCCGCTCCTGGCATGGCCGGTAAGAGCAGGTTGGGACCCTTGAAAAGAAAAGAAAAATAACAGAAAACAAGCAAAACAGAAAAAAAGGGGTTCCAACCATCTTCAAGAAGAAAATAGAGCACCTTGAAAAATGTGAGTCCATGATCCTTTGTTTTTGAGAATCTCTTCCTCCACAATCCATTTGTCCTCTGTTCACTATTTGCCATGATGCCGACTCGCCGAAGAAGTTATGAGATGACTTGTGCGTCGGTTGACCTCGTAAGCTGCTAAATGATCTAGGAAGTCCTCTACCTACGATCTGGGTTGTTTGTTGCTATAGAGGTCTGAAGAGTTGCATTGGTTTGAGTTAGGTTTGCTTGGGGACAAGCAAACAGTTAAGTGTGGGGGGATTTGATGACTCGGTAATTGCACATGTTTTCCCCTTTGTTTCTTGATTGTTTGAGCTTGAATTATTGCGTCTTTGGCCTATTTTATGCTAGGTTGTGTTCCTTTGTCCCATTTCAGGTCCTAGCACATAAAGTGAAGCATAGGCGCAAGTTTCAAGTCAATCAGAGATCAATTGACGATTCAAGAGAAGAAACTCGGGCATGACCTGAAGAAGAATGGATTTCTACCTCACTTTATGGACAAAGAATCATGCAAGCTTGTTATGAAACGAAAGAGGACGAGACTACGAGCGTCTGGGATCAAACGGCGATTGATTCGGAGTCCGGACGAGGGAGAAACGAAGCATTAAACAGAGGCTGAGCAAGCTGCACGGGCAGACCAGCGTGGCCACGCACGGCCGTGCAAGTGACCAGTTTGGCCGTGCGGGATTGTGCGTGGGCACGCACGGGATTGTGCGTGGCCACGCACGGCCGTGCAACATACAATTCTGGCCGTGCGAGTTGGCTGAGGTTCAACTAATTGATACGCCGCGTTTTGAGGTGCACGGCCAGAATGGTGATGTGCACGGCCGTGCACCCTGGCCGTGCGAGTCGGGATTTCCTGGTTTTAAGCCAAATTCCGAACCAAAGAAGAGGGAGAGCTGGGTTTTGGATCCCAAACACCCAAGGGACGAACCCTAGAGAGAGAGAGCGACTTGGGAACATTCTTGGAGCTATTTTGGAGGATTTCTTCGCCATTGGAGCTCGGGAATCAAGCTTGGAGATTGAAGATCTAGATCAGATTTCTGCAGTCTCTCTCTTCTCTATGGAGTAACTTCCCTTCACTTAGGTTTTGAGGAACCCTAGTTCCATGAGTTAGGATCTTTCTTGTATGAAGTTTTGGATGCTATATTGTTTGATTATAATCGAATGATGCATGTTTATTGAGTCAATTAAAGTCTGATCAACTTTTCCTGATTCCTGCTGCAATCTGAGATAGATAGAATCTGATTAGGTTGCTAGAGTCTCATCATTCGGTAGTAGGAGATTGGCTATACGAGAGTTAGCCAGTTTACTGCTTTGTACTGGAATCCAATTCCAGTGGTGGAGTTCTGTGCTTATTGCTTCAGCTTTCTATCCCGGTGAAGACTAGTCGTCTGCCGGATAGTTAGACTGAGAGGGCTTGGTCAGCTTAAGAGATTCCAAGCTACTGTCGGATCTTCCGCAGTTTAATCAACAGTAAATCAACCAAAATGAATTACAACTTGGACCTAATTGAGGAGCTAGGGGGAATCATACCTAAGTGAGTTCCCAAACTGTAATTAGTAGTTTTACTTAGTTTAGTTAGTAGAGTAGTTTAGTTAATCAATCCTTAATCTAGTTTGCTAGATAATGAACTGAAGCTGAGTAATAGTAACTCTAGAGACCCGTGGATTCGATATTTATTACTTGTGCCACTATACTGCAGTCCCTTTCATTGGTTACACTTGGCCATTGTTAGGTGTTGTGTTTTGGCGTGTCACATGCTATTAGCGATGGAAAAATTTATCTGCTCCTCACCATCCCTCAAAACTAAGGTCTCATCATGCACATTAATAAGAGCTTTGGCGGTGGCCAGGAAAGGCCTACCTAGTATCATGGGCACTTTTGCATCCTCATTGATATCTAAAACAACAAAATCCGTAGGATAAAAGAATCTGCCAACCTGAACTAGGAGGTCTTCCACTATGCCTCTAGGATGAACTATTGGTCGATCAGCTAGTTGGACACTCATACTAGTTTCGCTTGGTTCACCTAGGCCTAGTTTCTTGAACAATTTATATGGTAACATTTATACTAGTGCCTAGATCCGCCAATGACCTCTCTACATGCAGTTTACCAATAGAGCACGGGATAGTAAAACTACTTGGGTCCCTTTGCTTGTGTAGAAGCTTGTTCTGCAGAATGGCCGAGCACTCCCCGCTGAGCTCTACAGTGGCCAGCTCACTTAGCTTCTGCTTCTTTGAGAGAAGATCTTTTAGGAACTCTGCATATTTAGGCATCTGAGATAGTGCCTCCGGGAAAGGCACTTGAAAATTCAGCTTCTTAAGCATGGTCATGAAGTTCCCGAACTCTGCATCTAGCCGGTCTTTGTGCATCCTGGTGGGGAAAGGGAGCTTAGGTTTATATTCAGCCACTACCAGCAGGGGCTATAGGGCTCGAACCTTTGGCTTCTTTTCCATCACCATGTCCTCTTCCGGTCCGGGGGTGATATGCGTCACCTTCTTTTCACTCCTTGGTAGTGCATCCTCAGTCATAGTCTCACTCCTCAACATGATGGTGTGCCACCCCTCCTTATGATTTCTTGGGTTTGGCAGGGGTTGCCAAGGAAGTGAGCCAGCTGTTCGGGAAGCAAGGGCATCAACCAGGTGCTCAATTTTGGTGTCCATATCCTGCAGAAGTGCCTGCTGGTTCCTCTGAACCTCCTCCAATTCATTGAATTTCCCTATGGAAAAATCCATGAATTGGTCCATTTTTGAGAGCTTCTAAGTACTGGTACTCACGAAGGTCGTCATTAAATCTCGCAGCTAGGATATCTGGTCACCCTGTGTTGGGACTGCTGGTACTACTGCCGACTGGTGCATTGGTCGCTGTTGCATTTGAAATGGACCCTATCGGGTATGGTACTACTTCCTTTGGGGAAAGCCACTAGCTTGTGCTGCGAAACCAGGAGGCTTGGTGTCGCTACTAGTGTTGCCACCCCAAGAGAGATGGGGATGTTGGCGCCACCCCTTATTATAAGTACCGCTTTAGGGATCGAGGCATCGAGCATTGGCAATGAATTCCAACTGTTCCTGTGGGTTGGTGGACTCCCGCATGGCCTAACAGTCTCCCACCAAATGGTTTGAGCTTTCGCACCACTAACATTGGGTTGCTAGAGACACCGCCATGCCTCTACCCGGTATGAGGCTGTTAGGCTGCTTCAATGTCTGAACCAGCTCTGCTACTTCTTGTTCAAGCCATGATCTGTCTCTACGGCATGCACACCTTTGTCCCTCGAACTCCTGCCTCGTGTGATATGCCCCCAAGAATGGTCCCGGGCGGCCAAAGTATCTATCATCTAGTTCAACTCTGGTGGAGTCTTGGTGAGAATGTCTCCACCCGGGCATAAAGACTCGATCAACCGCTGACTCTCTGGGGAAAAAGCACTGTAGAAGTTCCCCATAGTGAATGCATCACTGAAACCATGGTGGGGGCACTTTCAGAACAGTCCAGAATGTTGTTCCCAAGCATCTCTCAAGGACTCATCATCTTCCTGGCGGAAATGGGTCATCTCACGCTGAATCTCTAAAGCCTTCGAGGTTGGATAGTGCCGGTGCACAAATTTGTTAGTCAGATCATCCCAAGAAGTGATGGACAGTGTCGGTTGAGTTTCTAGCCACCTCTTTGTGTGCCTCGCAGTGAGTGGGGGAAAAGGTGAAGGCGGATTGCATCATCTAGAACACCGTTCAGCTTAAAACCGTTGGTCAGCTACAAGAACCAAGAAAGGTGTACCCTCGCCTCTTCATCCTTGAGCCCATGAAACTGGACTGAGGATGTAATCAACTGGATCCACAAGGACTTGATCTCAAAGTTGTTAGCAGGTATGGGTGGATACTGGATGACTGGGTGGATATCAGCAAGACGTGGAGTGTAGAAGTACTCCATGGTGTGCTCCGACAGAGGTGGCTGTTGGTGGGGAGCGTCTGCCTGCAGATTGCCTTTGTTAGGCAAAACCTGGTTCACTGGGGGAATATGGAGAGGCATCCCTAGATGAGGTTGTCCCTGGTTCAGAGGTGGATTCAGCCCCAGGTTCAGGTTGTTCATCCGGTTATGCTCGTCTCCCATATTGTCTTCCTGCTCGAAGTCGTTGTTTATCCGGCCGTCGACTTGCTCTTCCTCCACAGCCCGTCTGTTCTTCGTGGCTCTCAGAATGTCGCGAAGAGTGCGGTCAAGATCGTTGTCAAAGGAAACAAGTTCTTTGCCAGACTGGCTACGGGTCATGTACTACCTGCACACAAGCTACAGGCAAACCCATGAAGGCAAAAAATGAAAGAAATAAAAGAAAAAAATGCGGGAAAAAATGCTAAAGTAACAGAAATCATGTTTCTTCAACAACCTAGCCGTCCCCGGCAATAGCGCCAAAAACTTGACTCGCCAATATTGTCACACTAGAAAGTGGCCAAGTGTAACCACAAACTAATGCATAATATAACGAGTTTAACTTTACTTGTCAACCCGGGTCCTAGATGTGATGACTACTCCTTGAAGTCTCGTTATCTAGCAGTTTGAATGTAATGAAGTTGTAACTAATCTAAGCAAACACAAAGCAGTAAGGTTGTAATTCAAGTTAAGAAGGCTCACTCAGGTATGAGTCCCTCTAGTTCGCAGCTAGGCCAAGTTGTAATTCACCTAAACCAATTTGATTGATGTTTAAACTGCGGAAAGTTCTCAAAGAGTCTGGAATCCCCACTATAATGCTCCAGAACCTCTAAGTTTGAATACCAGGCGAGCGACTAACCTCCACCGGCGTAAGCTAACCGAGGCAATAAGATTCAAATTTCTCTACTGGGTTCTAAACCAGTACATACCATTGAATCGACTTCCCGACTAAAGTCGTCGATTCACTACCACCCATTCAAGATTCTCTATTGACCTATGCATAGATTATCTTTCTACGTCAAAGCAGGAATCACTAGAATTTGATCAAGACTCAAGCAATTCTGAATAAGTACTTCAACTAGATATAAATCAACCAATCATTCATGGCAAAGGGTTTGTACAACTCATCTTAACATACATTCTAGGGTTCTTACATACCCAAGTGATAGAGGGGATTACTCCATAGAGAGAGTGGAAAGCTATGCCGGATGTGGAAATCATCGTGTAGACGGAAGGAATCGGCACCGGGTTGTCAATCGTTGCTCCTCGGGGCTTGAATCAAGCTCCAATGGTGTGGGACTTGATCTTAGCCACTCAAGGATCTCTCTTCGCCAATTTCTCTCTCTAAACCTCTATTTTTAGCTCCAAAGTTTGAATTCCATGTCAAAACCCACGTTTGGCACTAAATAGCCCAAGTATCCAACCCCCAGCCTGATTACCGATATGGTAATTTGATGGCAGGCCGAGTTTCTTCAAAATGGCGCGTAGCAGGTAAGTGGTGAAGCCGAATTCCCCGGTCGGGGATTAAGGGGTCACGACCGGGGGGAAACCCTGGGAGACTTCCCCGGTCCGGTATTTGATGGTCCAAGCGGGGAATTCAGTCCTCGAGCTCCTCCTTTCGTCTACTTGGTGATTTTGACCCGAAACTCGTCTCCAAGCATGCACAGCATATCCAAGATCTGAAATATGCCATAAAAGAACAACCTATCATGAAATCGGCTTAAAATACGAGAATCGAACCTCAAACAGTGTAAGAATGGTGGGCGACGACATGTGCAAATATCGAGTTATCAAATGGCCCTCTTGGCCAACTACCTTCGTTATACCCTTGTCTTTATTTCAGGTATAAACAGGATTCATCCTTTCTCTCCATGCTCCCCTTTTCCTTTTTTCGGGTTTGATAGCCTCCTCTTTTTCATGCTTCACATCACCACAAGGAACACAAGTAATAGTGGGGTTCGCCTTGAGAGGCTCGCCTCCACTTCCAATCATACCATTCGAGTCCATTTCCTTTACATCATCATTCTTGACCTTAGGATCAATTAAGAGAGTAAGCTGCTCTTCTCTATCTCTCAAAATTAGTGTTCCCTCGGTAACATCGATTAAGGCCTTGGAGGTGGCAAGGAAGGGTGTCCTAGAATGAGTGGCATATCCGCATCTTCACTGATATCAAGGATAACTAAATCCGTCGAATTGTAAAATTTGTCCATTCTCACTAGGACGTCCTCCACAATACCTCTAGGGCTAATGACAGAGTGATCGGTCAATGTGACAATAAGCCTAGGGATCGAATTACTTTGGGAAGAACATAAGAAATGTGGATGGTTTCGCCACCCCGGGTCATAAGTGTTGCTATAGGGATTGTTGTTCATAGCATTAGCGATGAAGCTCACTTGTTCCTTGGGGATGCTCGCTTCCTTCATCAATTGGCACTCCGAAATCTCATGGTTGGTACTCAAACACCAATCACATGCCATCAATGGCTTCTTCCCTTGATTCTTATCTTCAAGGAGAGTATCAAGCAGACAATCAATCTTAGCGGCAAGCGGAGGACTTGCTTCCACAGAACGTACTCCTCTCTCGATATTGCTTCCACTGCTTCTTGTCAAGCCCCAATCATACCCTTTTGTCTCCATGTCTTCAAGAATTTGGGTCACTTGAGGTGGAGTCATGTTCATCAATTTCCCTTGACATACAGAGTCAATGAGGATCTTGTCATCTTGGAGGAGACCACCATAGAAGGTCTCAATTCGAAACTATTCTTCAAATCCATGATGTGGGTATTGGAGGAAGTAGTCGGAATACCTCTCCCACGCATCCATCAATGTCTCATCCTCCTCTTGTTTGAAATGGGTGATCTTCTTACGCCACTTCGCCGTCTTGGAAGGTGGGCAATATCAAGTCATGAACGTGTTGAGCAAATCATCCCATGAGGTAATCGAGAGGGGTGGTCTATTGTTGAGCCACCTGAGCGCATTCCGGGTAAGAGAGTAGGGGAATAGCCTCAACTTCAAAGCATCTTCGGGCACCCCATTGATCTTCAAACTTCCTGCAATCTCGATAAACCTCTGAACATGCTCCCTTGGAGATTCATCTCTAAGCCCATGGAAGCACATTGTTTTGGATCATTGTGATGAGGTCGGGCTTGGTCTCGAAGTTGTTGGCGGCCATGGGTGGATGTCGAATGGTAGGTTGAATATCCGCCGCCCGTGGAGCCATGTAGTAGCCCATAGTCCTCAGTTGCTTCGCAGCTCCCGCTTGAGCTTATTGATTAGCCGTCATCTCGGCTTAACTTCCTTCCTCTTCGAATTCAAATTCTTCCTCAACTACAACTTCGTCAACTTCGAGACCAACTTGTGGTTGTCCCCTCTCCTCTATCCTTCTTCTTGCTTCTGCCAGTTCCCTCTCACGAGCCAAGAGTCGGAAAGTGTGGTTGAGATTCTAGTTTAGTGGCGCTAAAGGTGTCGGATTACTCTGGGCATACACCCTCATGCACACACTCAAAAGAGCCACAACTTGTCTAATACAAGGAAGATTCACACACACAAAAGCAAAAAGTAAAGCTATATTAACACCAAACAATCTTTCGAAAATAACGGACCAGAGGTTCCCCGGCAACGACCCCAAAAACTTGACTTGTCACGAATATCACAATAAAAACCCCAATTAAGGCCCGAGTATAAAAACTTAACCGGGTGCCATATAAGGCAAGTATGTTTAAATATCAACTCGGGTCGGAACATGTACCCCTACTTCGATTGTTGAAACATTATCTAGCGATTGGTTTTTGGTGAGAACAACGATCTATAACTAAAACATTTGTAAAATTAAATGGATTTGACACTAATTGAGAAGGCTTCACCTGGGTGTTGCTCCCCCTAGCTAGCAATTATGACTTGTCGGATCGAATGTAAACGTGTGGTAAGGCGATTGTAACCCGTAGGAAAGTGTAACAAGTGAACACATGCCACTCTATCTGTTAATAGGTTAAGCGAATTCTATTCAAGCTTTCAAAGTAGCTCTCTTGACCTATTGACTAAGGCTTACCCAGACTTCAGCCTCGAATCGGAGTTTAGAAGGCAAACTACAACCAACCCTAGGTGCTAATACGAATTAAGAGGTTTTCCATAGTTTAATCCAAGTAGGAGGCATAGATTGCCCAAAGAAATCCAGCTTTTACAAGCCTCTTCAAAAGAAGGGGATTTCCCTCTACCTAGGTTAATATAGCATAAGACATTTAAATACACAAACACAATCAATCTTCATGAAAATACCTCATCACATTGTATTAAAACACACCCTCACACAATTCATTCAACCCATACAAATATTCACATAATTGTAGATAGGGTTTACAAACACCCAAGTGAAATAAGGGACTACTCCATGCTAGGAGAAGGAAAAACACAAGGGAGAAGAAGGGAAACCATCATGGAGATGCTAGCCTTGCTCCTTGTGTTGAAGAGATCCTCCTTTGGGGAAGGTGACTCGTCCGAAATGCCACAATAATTGCCCGCCTAAGGTCCAAATATAAACTTTAGTCGGGTGCAGTACAGGATAAGTATGTTTAAATATCAACCGTGTCGGTCCGTCTACCCCTACTTCAGTCATTTGAATCATTATCTAGAAATAAAGTTTTGGTTGAAAAGTTTGCTAATTAAAGTAAAACAAGACAATGGTGAATGGTTTTGAAAGCTCTTTTGTGGAAGGATCACTCGGGTGTCGCTTCCCCCTAACTACTACCATGGTATGTGAACCGAAATGATTGCTATGGGCAAGGTGATCGCTAACCGCTAGGGGACGCAAATATGGTCGTAGACCACGGTCATGATTGCTAAATCGAGGCATGCATTATAGGCCGCCACTAGGCCCTCTCGGTTTAGGCAATTAATGGTTGACTTACTCCCTCACTCAACCCAAGGGTTGGACGACTTAATCGCGCTTAACCAAATTGCTTAATCCAATATTGAGGTTTGCCCTAAATTAACCTAGTTAGAAGACTGAAAAGCCCTAGGGATACCAACTCAATTGAGACTCCCTTGGAAGGAGGGTTTCCCTCTCTAGACTAGGTTAACTAGCTAATTAGATTGCTAAGCATAGACATGCACAATCGTTAGGTTGCTAAGCACCAATCATGAACAAACCTAAGGATGCTAAGCACAAACATGCACAATCAAGATGAATAATACCTCAAACATTTGAATTAAACAATACCCAATGACAATCATCCAATTCACATAAAAGAAAACTACATGGTAGAGTTAGGGTTTCACAACACCCAAGTGAAAAGAATTCTACTAAATGCTAGAAATGGGAGAAACACAAGGAGAAGGGGTAGAAACCATCTTGGAGGAGGCTTCCAATCTTCTTGGCCCTTGTGTTGAACTTTCCTTGGAGAAAATCTTCCCAAAATCCACCTTGGAGCAAAACCCTGGCCTCCTTCTTTGGTTCGTGTTTCTCTCTCTAGAAATCAGACGAATGCTTTCTCACTCAAATGGGCTCTATCTTCTCTCCTCCTTTCAACTCAGCTTTCAAACAGTGAAGAGCTCAATTCACGACCGTGAACTCTGAACCGCGTCCGTGAACTGAAGATGGGCGCCGAAATGCACCGCTTTGCTTCCATTGGTTCACAGCCAACAGCTCCTGTTCACGGTCTTAGCGACCATGAACACAATTGACGTTAGTAACTTTCATTTTGGCTTTAGACTCCTCAAAGTTCACGACCAATGGCTCTTCTTCACAGTCATACAAGACCGTGAACAGCCAAGGAAAACCGTGAACTCGCCGTTTTTCACCTCTTCTCCCAGTTTTCTATCCTTTTCGTCCAACTTTCGCCTCCGAGGCTGGTTTCACCTGTTAAATCATGAAACAATCTTTTAGGAAAACGGGGGTAAAACATGTACATTTAGGCCCAAATCAGAAGGAAATCCCAAAACCATGCTTGAAGATGAAACCATAACTTCTTCTCTTCTTTGGTTTGTCACTTTCTCGTACTATAAATCTGAAGAAGAAGAAGAAGAAGAAGTTTCTCACACTAGGTCTCCCCCCTTTTTTCCTTCAGCTCAGCGCTCCTTTTATACCCAGGTCGTGGTCAGTTCACGGTCCCAGTTCACGGTCATGAACATTCCTCCTGGACCGTGATGTCGAGTAGATCTGTGTTGTTTAGTTTAGTCTGTTCACGGTTTGGGGCTTTGGTTCACGGTCTTACGACCGTGAACTGGCTGGTAACCCGCAAGGTGTGCAACTACTTATGGACCCTTGGCACTTCACGGTCTGGGAGCCCTTTTCACTATCCTAAGATCGTGAAAAATCATCATTGGTCGTGATCCTCAGCTGCCTCCACCCTTCGACTTATTTTCGCTCATTTCCGTCCCACTTTCGATTCCGGGTCAGTTCCACCTACTAGAATCTGGAAAATACTAAAACAATACGCAACCTAGCGTAAAACCACACCTCACAGAGTACAAATGTATCAAACGCCTAAGGAAAATAGGGGTAAAATGTGTACAATTGGACCCGAATCATTGACGCGTCGTAAACTTCAGAACTAGGAGGGGGCAGAGGAAAGTTACACTGAGCTTCTCCATGACCAATGCAACCAAAATGGAAACAGAACAGGGGCAGATACTCATAATCTAAATTCTCCCAGAAGCCTCTCTTATTCTCATTTTGCCCAAATAACCTCGAACGGAGTGGAGCTTCAGCATCTATGAAAACCATGGCTTTAACAAAAACCTCGCTTTGACCAGGATTACCCGCAAACAGACCAATCTCCCGGGCCTCAACGTCGCCATCCATATAATTAGCAAATCGCCGACCCAGATTCAAAGTACACATATTTGGAGGAGTTATTGACTTGTAAACAATGAAAGGGAAACGAGCAAGCTCCCTTACCAAAGTAGGAGTAATCGGCGCCCAAGGTATCCAATGCAGCACAAAGCCCTTAACCGTCCACGGGCAGCGTCGAACAATCCGTTCCCGGACCTGATCATCCACCACAATGAACCTCCACATACCATTCTCAGCTTCATGCACAATGATCGGACATGTTGGTGTACCCCACATTCCATTAGCCACGCTATCCATTGTCAGGCGGAACAAGGGACGCAACGCAAACAGACGCCCCACCAAACTGATCTGCGCCTGAACAGGACCAATGTCAACATCCGAATCTTCAAAATCGACCACCTCATCTATATCCATTGGATCCATGCTGACGACCAGATGTTGAATGGACTGACGGGAAACCCAATTGAAGAACCAAACCAAAACAATCAAGAGACTGGAGAAGAAAACTAGACATAGGAGTTGAAACAAGGAAAATCCAGAACGAAACTGAACAATACCCCAATTATAAACCTGTCTTTTTGAAAAACAACCACCCACATATATCGCCAATTGTAAGTGCGAAGCAGATGGGATTCCTGTGATGGCAACGACTCCCATGATCCAAAACTAGATCGTGGAGCCGAAAGATCAGGTGCCGAGGAAACGGCGACTACACGAACAGAAGTTTCGCGATCTTGGTGGCGAAACCAATAGCCACAGAGCATTTTTTTAGATCACGAGTCATGACAATCATATCTATGAATATACAAAAATTATGCATAGCATTTCCTACACCTGGCCATCATCCGGTCTACAAAAGGCCCAGATAGTTGAGTTTTGGGCGGAGTATTTGGCCCAGATATTGATCGGTCAGCGGGAGCCCATTCGAACCAGAACCTCAGGCCATCCACTAATTTCGGAATTGCCATCTCAGTTCCTTTCGTTATTGTTGCGACTTGCGACAGATAGAATACTGTTCTCCTTCCCTCCTCTCTGCGTCATTTTCATTAGGCGCACAGCAAAACTAACAATGTCCAAGTCCAAGCCCGTCGCCGATTCAACCAGCACCACCGCAGCTGTTCAAGCCACCAACGATGACGCTTCTGCCAGTAAACTGTATGCTTAGCTTTCCTTCTATCTCTTTCCTTCCTTCTTCTTCTCCGTTCTCAAATTCGATCGTCGCTTTACGCTGGTTTTCCGTTTGTTCTCCGAGATAGGAATAAACCATACTGCCTTGAAGAGAAATTCACGCCCAGGATAAATTTTTCCGTTCTTGTACCTGTTTGGTATTCGCAGTTCAAAATTCTCGGTACAATTTGAGTATAATGCGTTGTTAGGGTATTTCCTTACTAGGTCTTCTTCAGTTCTTAAATAAAGGAGTGTTATGTACAGTTCGCTCAAACAAAGAACTACATATGGTCTTAAGAATTTCCTTAATTGGTTGGGCACTGACTTTCGTTTTGGTGATCTGAAGGTCCTGTGTGAAAAAGGGATACATGAAAGATGACTATATCCATTCATTTGTGAGAAGGCCTGTCAGAAGATCTCCAATTATCAACCGTGGTATAATTTCATTTAGGAAGCAATGGATGGGTTTAAATTTTTTGACTTGGTAACGTTTCTTTTCAACAAATACTCAAGTCTCCAGCTTGCTTCTGCTTATTTGCAGGATATTTTGCTCGTTGGGCTGCTCTTCGACAGCTCCTCTTTCAATTTCTCGATTCTGAGATTGATGGTAATGAAAAGGGTCAGACGAAGAAGCAGATATTGTCACTTGGAGCAGGCTTTGATACTACATACTTCCAGTTGCAGGTACTATGGTTGTCAGTGGTAATTACTTAAGTTGGGTTGCCACCTGCCCGTAGTTGCTAACTTTGATGATGTATGTGCATTTCCACATTGGGCAATATCCAAGCTGGACAGACATGACTGACCTGACTTTAACAAGCATATTTTATTTTCACGGAAAGGACCAGTCAGCCTCATTTGTGGACAAAATCTCTTGAAATTTGAGGAATGTGGTTTACTGCTGTTTGGTTTCTTCCAATCGTTGTTAATATTGGTGGCAGTTTCAAATTTCTTCAAATTGCTAAACCTAACTATGCCATGAAGAGTGAACTAGGTTGGTGTCTAAATGGAGTTGTTAAACTGTGTGTTTGACAGGACGAAGGGAAGGCACCATTTTTGTATGTGGAGCTGGATTTCAAGGAGGTGCAATTCTGGATTTCTTATCTCTTCTGACCATTACATTCAACTGAGTTTTTTTTTATCTTTCCACAAACTTGTTGTTGAGCCCATGGAGGAAAAAATATTTCTATCTCTTCTTCTTGCCAAACCTTTGGGCTGTGACAAGCTAATAACTGATTTGAAACACTTTTGCTAGGTCACTAGCAAAAAAGCAGCAATCATTGAAACCCAAAGTCAGCTGCGAGACAAACTTGGTGCTGCAGCTTCAATTTCTCGAGGCAAGAGCTAATATTTGATGTGTCTTGAATGTAGTTACCTTTGTAGGATATTAGGATTCTCATGAATCCTCCACAGATGAAGTACTTGCTTTTTTTTATGAAGGCGATGCAAAAGGCTTGCTTTTCAAGGTGACCTAAAATGCTTCCACTTCTGGTTTCTCACTAGTTGGCATCTTTAACTTTTCAGAGAAAGGGGAAGTGCTTGGTGATCATTACAAGCTTCTCCCAGTTGACTTGCGTGACATACCAAAGCTGGATGATGTCATAGCTTCAGCTAATATGGATCCTAGGTATGCCAAGGTGTCATTTACATTATGTGAATGCTACATGTGGAACAGCTCGTCTTCAATGATCTTTATTTTTTATACTGAGCTAGTGTTAAAGGTGCTCCATGCTGATACTTTCATCAGCTTGCCAACATTTATAATTGCAGAATGTGTTTTGATATACTTGGATCCAGATTCAACCCGCGATATAGTTGGCTGGGCTTCAAAATCATTTTCAACAGCTGTCTTTTTCCTATATGAGCAGGTTCTAAGTCTTCCCAAGCCTAAATGTCTGTGTTCGCACATTTGGTCTTTCTTCTATTTTCGCTGGTCCTTGTTTATCAAACAATGTTTTACCAATTCCTTGTAATGTTTACACTTTATGATGATTACTCTTCAGATTCACCCAGATGATGCTTTTGGCCAGCAAATGATAAGGAACTTGGAGGTTAGAATTTGCCTTTTTTATTTTATATTTTCACTAGTTTGCTTCATGTATAATTCATTTGGTGGCTTCCGTTGTTTCTGTCCTTAGAACCTTGCCATTACTCTGCCTGCTTCCCTTGATCACTCACTGACTACCTCTTGATTGCATCTTCTCTAAAGTTTAACATGCACCCCTTCTAAATTGTCGAGCATTGGACTTTTCTATGTAGCATCTTCCAGTACTAAGTCATAAGTGGAACTAGAGCAGATATTTTTGTGATTATGGTAGACCTTATCTTTGTTGTTTCTTCTTGCAAATGTCTTCTTTCAGAGTCGAGGGTGTGCACTACTGGGTATTTACGCCACACCCACTCTACTTGCAAAAGAAAGACTTTTTATCGAACAGGGATGGCAGGTATAATGTTGATTCTCTTTGGATTGACTTGTCATTTAATCTGTTGTCAGAAAATTTTCCTATTGTTTTGAGGAGAATGTGTTTTCAGATTACTATGAAATACTTGTTTATAACCTGACTATGACATTCCTTATCATAGAATTTATATCAGGGCTTTGTACAATCAATTGCATCAAGGTTTAACACAGACAGCTTGAGGTGCCCTAAAAAATGTTTGTCTAAACCTAAATTCGTATTTGCTCCTGGAATCTTAAAATCTTTCGTGAGGACGTAGATGTGACACAGGAAATTAAAATATCCTAATGTTTCTGTTACAATCTATTAATGTGGGATTTGGTTACAGGAGGTGTAGCTTCATTTAAGCCTCGTTTTTACTTCTTTTGGAATTTCACTCAAACTGACGTTCACATTCATTTTACACTATATATGAGGATCCAGAGAGCTGTTGCTTGGGACATGCTTAAAGTTTATAGTGATTTCATTGAAGTTCCAGAAAAGCGCAGGTAAGTTGTTCAATTGGTTTCTTCATGCTCATCAATTGTTAGTTTCTTGAATGTGTCTGATATGTTTCAAAATCTAGTTGTTTTCGAACACATCTATTGTTCAACCCGGCCAGTTTATATTTTATTAGGATGTGCTTGGACAATACTTGGTTTAGCAGTATCAGTGTATTTTGGGTCTGAAAGTAATGACTGGCAATTGCGCAAATCAGCAACATGGCACCGTTGCTTTTGCAACTAGTATTCATATAATTCGATTTTAGAAACGAGAAACCTATTTGCACTGTTTTTGCGAAGTGACATAGTGCGTTTTCTTCTTTGAGGTCCAGATGTTGGAGAAAAATCTGTAACCAGGATGCGATAGTAGTTGCAAGAGCTGGGTTAGTTGACATTAGTATCAGGTTGCAGTAGTTTGTTTGCATATGCAACTGTTTTTCCCCTTCGATTGTTTGCGTATGCAGTTCATGGGGGTTTTGGGTTTCTAAGGCATAACGACTTTGAAAGTATTTCCTGATTGCCTTGATCATTATCCGAAATATTGTCTTTTGAGTTTCTCTCATCTTCCATGTTTTGGTTATTAGGATCGAACGGCTGGAGCTATTCGACGAGTTCGAAGAATGGCACATGATGCAGGCAAGCCAACTACTGTGGCCTTCCCCCTCTGTGTTTTTTATCCTTATTTGTCTTATGTTTAGGTAGCAGGGCGTGAAAAGTATCATATAGATTCTTTTCTAATAATAATAATAATAATCTGTGTTTTTTATCCTTATTTGTCTTATGTTTAGGTAGCAGGGCGTGAAAAGTATCATATAGATTCTTTTCTAATAATAATAATAATAATAATAATAATAAGAAGGTGACTACTTCGGTGCACTCACTTTTTTGGGTGCATTCAGTGCACCCACATCTAAAAGTGGTCATAATACATCAAATTTTGAAATTTAATGGGTAGCATTAGTCTCATATGATGATATAACACATAATCACAACTAATCAACCCACTACCCTAACCTATTAACATTCAATTTTTAATCTAAACCCAAAATCCAAAATTGTAAACCCTAACCCTAAATTCCTAAACCCTGAATCATTCAAATTAAAGTGAATCTTGAATGATTTTTGTACAAATTCATGTGGTTCTTGTTCATCATACTACAAGGGATGATTGACATCGTTTTCACATGAATCGTCTACTCAGAATGACGATTATGAGGCGGGTGCATTGAATGCACCCAAAAAAGTGAGTGCACCGAAAACATAATAATAATAATAATAATAATAATAATAATAATAATAATAATAATAATAATTTATGTCCAAATCGAAAAGAATTCCCATCTTGCAGCGTTTCGTAATCAGCCTTTTTCTAGGGTGGTTGATAGCTGTGTTGTGTCAAATGCGTTGATGCTTCTTGTCCTGGATGCTGTTTTGTTTTTCAGGAGCACTACTGTGTGGCCATTGCAATCAATGATTCCATGGTATGACTCTACTTGCCTTTCACCTTTTAACCTACACCTTAATCTGAGTAGTGAGGCAGTGTTATCTGTGTAATTTCAGTTGAAACTAGGTGGATGTGATTAAAAATATTTGGAGTTATTGGGCTCTCCTCAAATGTCGACCGAGTCCTTACCTTCACTTACTTCAATTAACCAACCATCTTTATGGTGATTGACTAGTGAGTTCATAATCTCTTCAACTTCCGATAGTGAAGTGGAGGGGCCGAATTGTGATATAAATCAAAGATTCGTTTGATTGATAAATGATCCTCCACCCAGTTGATAAAAAGCGGTAGTGAAATGATTCCAAAATGTGGTGCTCTATAGGGTCAGAGGAAGAGGAAGCACACTGCTTTTGCGGATTAGATACAGTAGCAGCCTGACGTTTGCATCCTTGGTTGATTACATTACAGGGGCTGCTCGGGAAATACGGATTCTCAAACGGCCGCCACACAACACAATCCTCGTGCTAGTTGCTTCTTTTTTGGCTGGGAGCTGAGAGCCTTTTACATTCTATTCTCTTCTGTTCTGTTCTGTTGTGGTGACAGCAGGAGGGCTGCTACATGTTATTTGTCATGACTTATAGCACTGACTTTTTAACTAGAGAAGGAAGATCCATTCCATTCCAGATAGATGGTTTCTGATTTGCTTTGTGCTAGCTGTTTGGCACAAAGGGAAACTGGCTGCACATGGTGGGGTTCTTCCTCATGTGCCTGCCTCTAAATACACATATGTTGGTTGGCTTTTTAGTTGGTTGCTGAGATTGTGATGTTGACGTGGATTGCCTTTATTTCGTGGTGATGCTGGCTGGAAGGGAAGCACTCTCTTAAAATTGTGACCGTCGAATGCAGGCTGTTATTGTTATATGGTTGGTTGTGAACCGTATCCGTTTTTTGTCCGTAAAATGCGTAATACAACAACATAGTGTAGGGGACTAGCGGTTGGATAGCATCACTTCCCCTAGGGTTGTCAGTTTCACAATCAATGTTAATGGGTATTTGGGTATGACAAAAAAAAAAATATATATTAATTAATTTTTTTTATTAATTGCATATTGGGAATTAAAAATTCATATTAAATACTTGTTTTTTTACATTAAATTCTCCAATATATACATGTGCATCTCTCTCTTCTTTTTCCAGTAGTCACTTCGCTCCGGCTGGCAGATCCGACGAAATCTCTTTGACAGACTCCATCCTGCAACCTGTAAAAATATATAAATCCATTAGTCTAGTGGTAGTGATTTTTTCGAGTGCTACGCTACCAGTACAGTGCTACCACTACCATTTGGTAGCTGTAGTGGTAGCGCACATATGGTAGTGGTAGCACTTGTTCGACCCCTATGAATAAGTATTCCTAGGTGCCGAACGATTATTTAAAAGCATTGACACAAATGATCACGTATTAATAAACGTCAAACAAGTATTCAAACACGCCGAAGAAGTATTTTGAATATCCGAACTAGTATTCTCATATCTAAAATCAAGAAAGAGAAAGAAGAGGGAAAAAAGAATGAGAAAAGTGAGTGGACATTAATTGTCAATTAGATTGTGGGATCACCTTCTTAAAAAGTGTTTGGCTCCTCTTCTCTTTTCTTACCCAATCCCAACCCTCCAAATTAGTTGGTGGAATGTGGAAGCCATCCAAATTAGTTGGTGGAATGTGGAAGTAGGGAATAGGGATGACAACAAAACCCGAACCCACGGGTACTCACCCGACCAAACCTGGTCAACGCGGGGTAAAATTCGAGTTGACAGGTTTTGGGCCGGGTTTGGGTTTAAACCTGTTCACTATTCACCGGGTTGGGTTTGCGTTTAGGTAAACCCGGCCCATGGGTACCCTCCCACACCTATATAATTAATTTTCTCGACATATTTAATATTCTAAACAACTAATCTTATTTATGTTTGTGGAGACATGTCTAACTTTTTTTTCTAGTTGTGTAGAATGAAGTTGATGTTATCCAGTGGAGAGTGAAAACTTAATTGAAATGAAGAAACTTTTAATTAATCATGTTATTTATGGATAATTTGTGATTTGCTTCAATTTTCTAGATTGGTGTTTAACAATTTGTATAGTTAATTTGTGATTTGCTTGAATTTTCTAGAATGGTGTTTTATATATTTATAATTTGTATTGAGAGATTGATATTTGACTTTAATTTTGATAGGAACTTGTTATTGTAAATTTTTTACGACAAAAACCCGTGGGTACTGTCACGGACATAGACTTCCGAAGTCCGTGCGGCGTTTTGAGGTGCACTCATTCCTCAAGACCAGCCTCTCTGCATACGCATGCCAACTGGTTTCGCCCTGCCTTGGGCTCATGAGGGAGACGGCAATAGCCTTCGACCAGTTGTGCCTTCTCTTGCAATGATCTCCTGCATAGCCACATCCTAACTCGGCCAGAAACGATGAACAGGAAGACAACGCCTTATCGCTAATGTCGCCCCCTTTACCCTTCTCGTGGCAAGACGACAAGATGGCAACGTTCTTCAGACGATCAACACAGTCACAATATTTCGGGTCGTGACATTCTCCACCACTCGTAATGCAGCGCGTTCTCGTGCTGGTGAAGAATGCTTCTCTCCGCAGCATGTATTGCAAAACTCGAACCGATTGTGTGCGTCCGCATACGATACCATCCTCTGATGGACGGGCTCCGGTCGCGTCTCTCGCGCTAGCCTGCTGTACCCCGCACAGATACCGCTTCGCCCCTCGACATCAACCTTCACTCTTTGCTTCTGCTACGCTAGTACCTCAATCGACTTTCACCCTACGCTACTCCCAGCGTTTGTACCTTAATATGCCTTCACCCTACGCTCTTGCTAGCGTTAGTTCCTCGGTTGAATGACATTCTCGGCCGCTGCATCTTCAGCCTGTCGAGGTCCCCCACAACGGCGCAACACATGTGTATCTGCGTTCGGACCGCCTGATATGCACACCCATGACCGCCTCTCATTCGGGCATAGGTTCGGCCCATACTCGACCTATGCCGTACTGAGAGAGGAACTAGGCTCTTTAGCCTAACCAAGCTCTGATACCACTTGTCACGGACATAGACTTCCGAAGTCCGTGCGGCATCTTGAGGTGCACTCATTCCTCAAGACCAGCCTCTCTGCATACGCATGCCAACTGGTTTCGCCCTGCCTTGGGCTCATCAGGGAGATGACAATAGCCTCCGACCAGTTGCGCCTTCTCTTGCAACAATCTCCTTCATAGCCACATCCTGACTCGGCCAGAAACGATGCACAGGCAGACAACGCCTTATCGCTAATGTTGCCCCCTTTACCCTTCTCATGGCAAGCCAACCAGATGGCAGCGTTCTTCAGACGATCAACACGGTCACGACATTTCGGGTCGTGACAGTACCCACGAACCCGCGGATACCCAGCGGGTTGGGTTTGAGTTTTTCAAACCCAATGGATTTTACCCTGGATTTTTTTTCCACAAATAAATCCATGGGTTTGGGTTTGGGTTTGGGTTTGGCAAAACCCGATCCAACCCGACCCATTGCCATCCCTAAGTGGAAGGCCATCTCACAAAATGAGTAGTGAGTAGGATAACCATTAACCAAATTAGGATATATTTCATAGAGGCAAGTAGGTTTCAAGAGCTGCTTTGTTTTTAGGCTTTTGGATAAATTGTTTGGTATCAAAATGACTATACTCTCCCCAATCATTTGTCAATGAATTGTTTTTTCTCTAACTACCTTCCAATCTTAATGTTGCCCTTTTGTCATAAATTACCTAGTCAAGCTCAGCCTTCCAGATAGAACCTGGAACATGTTGTGCAAACATTCTAAAGATCTCAATAAACTGCTTCTTAGTAATCCAACAAGATGTAAACAAATGCTTCCCAGTCTCCAGCCCAATATTGCAAAAAAAAAAAAAAAAAAAAACAATCAAGTGGTCATGTATAGCCCCAATTCAACATCCTTTCTTTTGTATATATACTTCCATGAATAACCAGCCATGTTAGCACTCTATTATTAGGAATAGCATTTCCTCTCCAAACAACCTTCACCCAAGGGACTCACGCTTGTGTAGGTCCGATTACCTTCCAAACACGCTTTATAGAATACATAAACATTAGAGAGGCATTCTAATAAACCTGCCCATTGCTCACAGTGAACAAGTAACAAACAAAAGGATGGAATTTGAGGATATTCCTCCAATTCTAGGAGCCAGAACCACATAAATAAGTGCACAAATCCCTTCCTTTCAATTTGTAACCTCCAACCCATGATACCCAAAGGGAATCCTGTTGTAGTAGGATCATCCATATATGTCTCACCATACATGCAACATGTCAAGTGATCATATTCCTAAACCCCAGGCCACCTTCTTTTCTAGGGAAGAAAAGCTTCTTTCCAGACGACATTAGCTCTAAGTTTAGCCCATGTTCTAACTACCCAAACCAAATCACTACATATCTTTTCTACTTCTCGGATCAATGCCTTAGGGAGAAGGAAAAATCATCTATAAAATTGCGTCAAACTGTGGAGAACACTCCCAACTAACTCAATCATGCATGCATAAGAGAAAGACTTTGTTTGCCAAATTTTAACTTTTACGACAAGTTTATCAATAAGAAGTTGGCAAGCAGCCAACATAATTTTCAAGATATGAGTGGGAAACCCAAGTATCTGACAAGGAATGCTCCTAGTTGATATATCGAGCATCTCTCTTTACTTTCTCCTCCTTTTTTAACCCTCCAAAGTAAATCTCACATTTACTAGGGTTTGAATTTCAAAAATCATTTTGAAATGATTCAGTGTCCTATGCAATTCTTGGATCCCATAATTTGAAGCATTAGTAAAGACCAGAAGGTCATCAGGGAAAATATAGGATGGTAGGAAAAACAACCAGCATTAGCAAATTTGTCCAAGAGACATGTACAATCTTCATATTATTATGGGGAAAATAGGATCCCCATAATTTGAAATATCTCAAAAGACCCCAGCAAAACAAACAATCAATATTAGAGTTCCTGCACATACTGATCCAGCTAATAAATCTCCCAAGAATACCCATACCGGAAGAAAGAAGCAAAGAAACCATATATGCCTGGACTTTTATCCTCATTCATTGAAAACAACACCTCTTTAATCTCTTCATTTGTAATGGATCACACAGATTACCAATTTGCTCTTTAGAAAGTTTGTGTGTAAGCAGATATGCATAGAACTCATCAGATTGTGCTTCAACTTCAAGGTCCAATGTCCCTAGCAACCTCTCATAAATCCTACTGCAATTTGACACATATGGTCCACCTCTTGGATCTTAGAACCCTGCTCGTCTTTTAATGCTAGAATTGTACACCTCTTTTGTTTTGTTCTAACTGACATGTGGAAGTAAAATTTGATATCTCCTGCTTTTAATTATGAGTTAATATCTTATTTTAGTCTGAACTATAATCATATAATTAATTTTGGTCAGTGGTTTTAGAAATTAATATCCGAGCCTCAACTATGCAACATATATACTTAATTGACCCGATATATGGTTTGACTGTCAATTTGGATTGTCAACACCGTTCATCGTCAGTCAACATGCCATGTAATTGCCTCGTCAACCTAAAAATCATTAAAAAAATTAAATTCAAATTATTTTCCTAATTTCTATTATTTATCATTCTCAAATTAACCAAAAAAATAAAAAATAAACAAATATAATAAATTTTATTTTTGGGGTAATTTGAAAATGATAAATTTTATAAATTAACCAAAAATTATCAAATTATTTTAAATTTTATTTTTTGGTTAATTTAAAAATGATAAATAATAGAAATTAAAAAATAAATGAAGTTTTTAATGATTTCTAGGCTGACATGGCGTGTTGACCGTCCAAATTGACGGTCAAACCATGTGTCGGGCCAATTGAGACTATATGTTGCATAGTTGGGGCCAGTATGTTAATTTCTGAAACTACGAGCCAAAATTAATTATATTATAGTTATAGTTCGGACCTAAATAAGGTATTAACCCTGTAATTATATATCTCTCGACTTCTGCCTAAGACAATATAGGTCATCATTCATAAGAACAGAAAGCTCTTGCATCAACTTGCTTTCCAACTCAAAATTTTCTATTGTAGGATCATATAATGCTTGTTGCTGCACCCTATTCCGGTCCATCTCTTTCTCCTTAACACTATCTCCATGTTTTCCCGGTGAGAAAATTTAGATGGAACAGAATTGAATTGCATCTTTGACTTCCAAACAAACGATTAAAAAATACGGTCCACACCTCTTTAAACAAAGTTCAAACAAGGGTGTTCAATGTTTTTGATGATCTACGAGGCAAACTAAATTACATTAACTCTACTCCTATGAAGGTTCAGTGAGAGCTCCAGATCTACGACTATGGCTAAAATTGCAAAGGAAAAGATTAAAGGATAAAATTTGACATTGTGTTGTCTTGTGTGAATTTGGCGAACCTCTCCTCTGTTGTCTTCACCTCCTATTTATAGCCACAAGAAGTAACTTCTTTCAAAAAACCGCTCTGCTGATGTGGAGTGACGGTTACTCTCTTCAACGGCTCTACTGATGCCCTGACGATGGTAGTGCCCTCCTCTTGAGACTTACTCCCTACTCTTGGTATCTTCTTCGTAGCTTTGCTTGTCTGCAGAGAAAAATGGCTAAGGCATAAAAAGGGTGACCCATTGCCACTTGAATCCCCCTTGCATGATCACCTCATGGGGGGTGTAAGTTGATCACCACCCCCTGATCACTTCATGGGGGTGTTCCTTGCCTTAGCCAAATTCGGCCAACCATCTCGAGACTTAGCCAAATTTCACCCAAGATGATCACCCCGTGACTACCTCATGGGGGTGTATGTTGATCTCACCCCCTAATCGCACTATGGGGGTGTGTTGATGGCCACCCCCTTGACCACACCATGGGGGAGGCTTCTTTCCATCCTCATTATCTTCCATACTTACCCAAATTTCTACCCCACCTTATCACATCCCACCATCCAACTTCACCATAACACCCTCCTGTCATGCTAAGGGGTTGTGCTGGCTACTCCATGACCACGCCATGGGGGTGATGACCCCCACCGTATGATGATCACCTCCCCTCCACCTCTTGGGGTGGCAGTATAATGCTCAACCCCCTCGGCACATCATTGGGTGGCTATATGGTACCCACTCCTCTTACCACGTCATGGGGGTGGACGGATGGTGGCCACCCACCTCGGCACCTCTTGGGGGTGGCGGTATGATGGTCACCCCCCTTGGCACCTCTTGGGGGTGGCGGGATGGTGCCCACCCCCTTACCACGTCATGGGGGTGGAGGGATGGTGGCCACCCCCCTCGATACCTCTTGGGGGTCTTAGGGGTGGCGGTATGGTGCTCATCCCCCTTACCACGTCATGGGGGTGGCAATATGGTACCCACCCCCCTTACCACGTCATGGGGATGGCAGTATGCGGCCACCCCCCTTGACACATCATGGGGTGGCTCCAACACTTAGCCAAATTTAGGGATGTATGACACTCGTGATGATATGGAGTAATGGACCAAAAAAACCCAATCCACGTGGCCCACTCAACTTATTTAAACTGTTATAATCAAGTTGGCCTTATAAAACCTTTTAATTCCTTGTTTTTAACTGATCTGGTACAAATTTAATTTTTGGTGTAAACACTCTAATATATGAGAACTGTTCTCAATTATTTTTTATTAAAATACTTGTTATTATTTTGGAGATCGATTTTCTATATAAGTTATGTGGTTGTAAAATGATTTACTTTGACGTTGTCATAATTAGTAAACAAAGTTAACATAAAGTTATTATTAAACAATCAAAATTTGTGTTATATTAGCACTTCTACTATGCTATATAGTATTGGTGCTTTAATGTACAACTTTAAGTTGTACCATAACCATAAATGTATAAGTTTATATTGTACCATAAAAGAATTTGTATCATTATATTATGGTACAACTTCAAGTTGTAAAGTTGTACCATCATATAAAGGTACAAGTTCAAGTTGTACCATAAAAGAATTTGCACAAAAAGTATAGGTACAATTTGAAGTTGTACCATAACGTTAAAGGTACAATTTCAAGTTGTAACATAAAGACAAAAACTTATAGCACTAATGCTATATAGCAATGTAAAATTCCTCGTGTTATATATGGTCAATACTCAATAATATATGTTGTATGCTGGTTGGAAAAGAAATTTTGTTCTCGTGATTGATTTTATTAGAACAAGAACAATTGAATGAAAAGATATTAAATCTGACAAAAATATAATAATATTATATAAATGACTCATTTTAGAATTAATTATAAAATATAATACAATAGATATATTTGAAATATCTATAATACCCATATATCTATAGTTGTATAAATAAAATTAAAACACTAAACAGGCATCGAAAGTGCATTTGGGATTTCATTGTTTGTGATGAAGGCAGGTGGGTCCCTCAACAGTTTTTGGTATGAAAAGTAGTGGGTGATGTCTTGATATGTGAGCCAAGAAAAAGTTGGTTTTGGTCTCGCTTGATCTATTACGTTCTGGCAAATATGGAGACTTGTGTTTTATTATATTGCAATGCATTGTAGCAGGGTTGGAGGTATGTTAGCTTTTGGTTAAAGCGCTAGGCTAAGCACAACGTTCGTTTGTTGGAAGGGTCAAACAAAATATTGGTGCACTAAATAAAGAGGAAGAAAGTGGGAAAGGTTTTTTTTTTTTTGTCAAAAGATAATATATATTAATCAATCAAAAAGATAGTTACATCCTGGAAAGCAGCCAGGCCCTGAAATCAAAATAACGGTTCCCAGTTGGGTACAAAGAAAGGGCTTTTCTAGCAACTAAATGTGCTACCCTATTATTCTCCCGACCTATAAACCGCACAGTAAACCCTGGATAGGCAGCAAAATATTGACAAATCTCGTCCAGGACTGCCCCCAAGCGATTGTCCCGCGAATCGGCCTGATTAATCTTGTCTATAATGACCTTCGCATCACCCTCGAACCGAACACCAGACAAACCTCACTCTAAACACCAAGTGATAGCCTCACGCAACAC